CGGTGACCATGCGAACCATTACGCCCGCCTTTTGGCACAGCCTAACAGCCTCGGGAACTCCCTCGCGCAAGGGGTCCTGAATACCAACCATACCGATGAAAGCCATAGTTCGGAACATGAAATCGAAGTCGACTTCGCCTCCATCACCGCGGCGGGCATTGCGTGGGGGCCACTGTTCAAAGTCCCTGTAGGCGATGCCAATGGTTCGGAGTGATCGGGAAGCGTAGGTGTTGATGAGAGTGTTGATCGTCTGGAAGTTGGCCTCGGTCATCTGGACGAGGGTGGCATCCTGAGAAGGGTCACGGAAAATCTGGTTGCACTTTCCGAGAACAATCTCGGATGCGCCCTTGACGTAGACTCGGGCACCACCTCCTGGGAGTTGAACGACGATTCCCATACACTTGCGACCAGAATCGAAGGGGACAAGTTGAAGAATCTTTGCGTTCTCGCGTTCCTCAGCGACAGGACCCATGCCAAAGTAATCACGCGCCAAGAGAAGCAGCGCAGTCTCTGTTTTCGATCCAACGTATGCCTTCTCGCCGTCAACCTCTCCTTCAAAGGCCGTAGAGTTGAGCGAGATCGAGTTGACGAGGATTTCTTTGATCGGTGCACTGAGCATCTTGGCGAATTCCGCAACGGAAATGTCAGCAGACGCATCGAGAGCGGAATCGTCGCCGTCGTTGGAGCCGGAGGGGCGCAATCCGCCAAATCGATGAGTAGTACCAATAGTGCCAGCGACCACCTGCATCTTGTTTTGTGTGAGGGTGCCGGTCTTGTCGGAGCAAATAGTGTTGGCATTTCCCATAACCTCACAAGCCTTGAGATGCCTGACGAGGTTTTGATCCTTCAGCATACGTCTCGTGGCAAACGATAGGGCGAGCGTGACGGCCAAGGGAAGTCCTTCGGGGACTGCGACGACGATAATAGTAACAACGGTAATGACGATGTTGATAAAATCCTGTCCCTTTTGAGCTGAGGTAACGGAAGGCGGTTGCTTGGGGAGCTTGACGAGGAATTCGATGAACAAAACGATGAAGAGCAGTAGACCTGCAGCACCTCCGAGCTTGGCGATGTATTCAGCAATCATGTTGAGCTTCGACTGTAAGGGCGTAACCTCCGGGTCCTCGTCCAAAGCCATGAGAGTCTTGCCGAAAGAAGAGTGGATGCCGGTAGACGTAACCATAAAAGTACCAACGCCTTCCATGATTCTGGCACCAGATTGAATGAAGGGGTCCAGCTTCTTGAGGTCATCGCCGTTCTGGATAGCCGTGAATACTTCCTCGCCATTCCGTTTCTTGATGATGTCCGATTCTCCCGTAGCTTGGGACTCGTCACACTTGACATTGAAGCCCTCAATCAAGATTCCGTCGACGGGAATGAGATCACCCGGCTCAAGGTGGATAACGTCTCCGGCCAAGATATCGTGTACTGACAGTTCAATGGTCTTCCCCGAGCGGACGACTTTGACGTTGCGATCCTTCTTCCTCTTGTTCAACTTTGCGAATTGCCTCTCTTTGCTGTAATCGTTGAGGGATCCCACGATAACGACGATGGCGATGGCGACCACGATAGCAACACCTTCAACCCATTCGACCTTTGGTTCACCGGGAGCGTGCGGCAAGCCCACTGTCTGGTAGATGCCGATAGCGAGTGAAACTACCGCGGCAGCTGTCAGAAGCATGAGAACCTTGTCTTGGTATGTAATCCACATTAGCTGAAGAAGAGTCTTGCCCTTCTTCTCAGGGATCCGGTTGTCCTTGAAAATGCGCTTGCGGTCGGAAAAGCCGCCGTCGTCATGCTTAGCATGGTGACCAGTGTTTTGTCTCGAGGGGGCTGTTGGGGTTTCGCTCTCCTTGAAATCCCCAGATGAGTGAATGTGAGCCGTTGCCTCGTTGAAAGAGACTTGACCATCCAGGTGGACCTCATCCAAGCTCAATCCGGCCTTGCGATCACTGCGAAGACCCTTGGCAATGCCAGTCAGTCCTCCAAGAGCGTAGTATGCGCCCAGACTTTTCGGGTTGAACATCTTGTTCAGCTGTCCTGGCGTAAAGGCAAAAGGGTTGTTCTCCGCAACAAAATCTCCTTCGCTGCCCTTGTCTGGACGCAGGGCGCTGTCGTCGTTCAGGATCTTCTCGTTGGACATGGGGCTGGGCTTCACTGTCTTTTCGGTTGACTGACTCAGTACAGCAATAGTCTCGCCCTGGGAAGACATGTCGTCGGAATCGATAGAGTTCTGTCGGGAGCGCAAGTTGCTGGGAACAGCCAGGAAGGCACGGTCGTTGCCTCTCAATGTCGCAACAGGACTGGACACATTGTGCGGGCTTTGAGGCCTGCTGCTGTCCTTGGCGTCGAATGAGGTGTCGGCGCGAAGCTTCGGTTTCGGTGGCTTCTCTTGGGAAGCTGACCACGGAGCACCAGCACCTTCCGGTACGGTCGTCGGGCTGACTGCTTCATCTTTGGGCGATCCAGGTGAGTTGGACGCGTCTTGCTGGGTCTCCTGAGCCATGGCTGGTGCAGGGTTTGTGGTGTCGACGCCGGTGGCAGACGGATCTATGGTGATGGTCGGGCTATGAAGGAGTCAGTCAGTTCTATATCCTCCAACTATTTACTAGGAGGCAAATAAATGCCGTGGACCGCAAACGTACGCTCGGTTTCTCCGTTGCGGCGCAGGGCCATCTTCTGGGGTAGAATTCGGATCCATGATTCCCGATCAAGCTCGACACTGCCGCCTTGGTGCGGCGCCGTTTGACGGTAAAGCGAGGCGAATGGAGGCCGCCAGTGTGGACGAAAGAAGTGGTAGCGTGAGGCTGTGCCGGTAAAGGAAGGAGGCAGCCGGGCGGCGAAAGGAGCGACAATAACCTGAGGAGGTTAAACTATGTTTTTGAAGATGTAACAGCGAAAACCTGTCGTCGATGTTGTAGACTAGGTTGAGGTTGGGGCGCGTGTTGTGGGTGTATTATGCGGAGCGTGAAGGCGCGTTGTGGTGTGATATCGATGAAGGTATCCGTGGTCGTCGGTCTCGGCAGTGGATATCGGCGAGTGTATGAATACACGACGTCCAAAGATGGATAGAAGTGATTTTGGTAAGGAAAAGGTTGAGTTGGCTAATATTCCCCTTCTCTCACTCTACATTGCGGGACGCAAAGGAATGGGCAGCCAGGCAAGCAGAGAAAAGAGGAAAGGCGAGGAGGGAATGATGCGATGGGAGGAAGATGGGACGTTGAAGTTCGTTTCAATCAAACCAAAACCAAATGCAAATCCAAAGCGCCTACTTGGAGCCGAGACTGGAGTAAGAAGAGCTTTGAGACAAGCCGGCGACTAGGTGGCTGGCTGTCTTGGTAGTGATGTATCCGTACGGCCTGGGGGAAAGAGGGACCTTGGGGGCAAAAGAATGAAATCCAGGTCGACAAGACAGGACGGGATGAAGAGTAGGTTTGCCCCTTGTCACAGTCTCCTCTGGAAGGGCATATCGAGGATGAGTGGGAGGAGGCGGCGGTTGTGCCATGCCATGGTCTAGAAAGGGTGAGTGAGAGTTTGGATCTCCCACATGTGGTGCCAAGAAGGAGGCAGTGCAAAGAAGTACACCTTATTGGACGGAGGGGAGGTCCGTACAGGGGTAAGCCGGTTTACTTTGTACTGGGAGCGCTGCTACTCCGTTTGCGGCTTAGTCCGCCCGTCGTTGCTGGAAGGGGTCCCAGTAGCTTGTCAGGAGAAAGAAGCTCATCAATGCCGTACATCCCATGTATCACCTCCTACCACCTAGTAGGTATTCACCACTCTCTGCCACCTAAGGCTACTCCCAGCTACATCTACTCCGTAATGCCTGCCTCGCCCTCTCCTCATCACCCAAAGGGTGGGAAGATCCACCCCGGCCCCGTGTGGGGCAACTTCCCATTTCACACGGTACGTTGCCAAGGCCAAAGGTACCTTTTTTTTCTTTCCATCCCGTCGACCCTTCTCTCTCACTCTCGTATGGTGCCTACCTTACGGAGTACCTTACGAATACACCCTGGCACTCACTGCCAGTGTGAGTGAGTGACGCCCTTTCCAGCCGAGTCCTTCAGATTGATTCCATCAGAACAGACCATCTCTTGCTTTTTTCATGGGTTGGGCCCCTTGAGAAGTTCACATTCGAACAAATGACGCCAGCCGAACCGCCTAGATTTCGAATATCCCGATCCTCCGTTCCCCAGACGTTGGATTCGTTTTGCTTCTGCTGACTTTACAGCTCGTCAAACCTCATTCCTCAACTTACTACAGACACTCCAAACATCTAGGCGGTTACCACTGCTACCTTGGCTATATATGATGCGTAACCAGGTGGACTTATTGGCCAAGGGTGTTTTGCTTGGAACAGGCCATGAATCAGGACGACAACACGACGACTGCCAACTGGATAACTAACCTCTATGGAGTAGTCGCTCTTATCAAATCCAACGGATACCTCACGCTCCACAAGTCCACCGTCGGCACCACCTCAACTTTGACAGAAGCGTTTCCATGTTTCTGCTTCTTTCGATTGCAGCTGCATACGCACACGCATCTGGTTCACTTGTTTCGACGTCGTGTTTCTTCGCCGCTGCGGCACCGAGTCTTACGAGCGCCCCATACGAATACCTATTGCGTACTCCGTAGGCACTCCTCGTACAAAGTCCCACCAACCATCTAGCCATGAGTCTATTGCCCGTACACCCAAGAACCGTCCTCCATCCCCGAGGCTGAGCGCCAGGTTGACTCCCGACGCCCGGCGGCTATGGAACAATTTGTCTAGCTATGAAGGAATCAAGCTCCCTTTCGACAAATCCCAATCGAGGTTTGGCTCGCCTTGGCTGATACTGTTAGTCGCCTCACGGATAAGCAACTTGAATCACCGGGCTAGGGTCTTTCTGAACTTGCCACTAGAAGAGCAGAACAACATAAGTTGACCACGCCTGTTGACTCCCGTGCAAGCCCAGTATCTCGATAAGATCTGATCCCGCCATCGTGGTAGTCTCCAAACGCTGCCCATATGACCATTTACTTAGGTTCTGGCAAAGTGATTGGAACTTTCAATTCCAAAACACCCACAGTGCGACAAGGTGGTTGATCGGGCCAGACGCGGGTGGGATGGCAGGCTGCAGTGGTGAGGCGATGGCCCAAGATCGACAGCCAGAACAGCATCCTGCAGCACAAAGCTTTTACATTTCCAATAATCGACCAATTTATTACTCTGTAAGTCCCTTCTCCCCGTGCCGCATCTTCTCTCTCATGGTCTGATACACAACGGCGGCTTTTCCGTCGTCCAGTGGCTTCCAAGGCTCTTCCATGCCGTGCTGAAGCAGGCGTTCTCGGGAAGCATACCGGCCATCCACGTCGAACATAGCGCTTTCGCTTTATTTCAGACACTTGTGCCGTATCACATCTAGATGATTGTGCCTCGCCTCTTGTCTGGTTTGGTCCGGGGTACCGGGATCATGGGCATACCACAAAGCAAGGACATGCCTTGTCGAGCGAGTTCGGACCATCGCATTCCAGCAAGCCGTCTCGGGAGAGATGAGATGTTGCATCACAAACCACATCTGACATTTAGGCCAGTCTTCAGAATACCTTGCGGTGCGCCTCGGCGATGGATTCTGCAAATCTCATACTCAGATCATCTGCCGTGGACACAAATGGCGCCAATAACTGGACAGAGATATGGCGACATTGACCATCCTGTTCTGTTCTACGGCGGTCTACTGGCTCGACGGGATGTGCGCGGTGGCTTGCCCAGTCTGGCAGGTCGGGGCCGGTTGTTTGATACAAGCAGCAGAAAGTGCACCAACAAATCAACCATCGGCCGACTGGTGTCCGCTTGGTGGTCTGTCTCTCTTTCAAGGCCGACATCAGGTACACTATTCGTACTGTCTCTACCGATACGTGACTCTCAATACAAAGTACCGGCACGAGGTTCAAAGTTCAACGACGGGGCAACGCAGCGACAGATGCCAAAGCGCCAAGACAAATTTTCATGCCAACGCTCGATGGGGCTCTTTCGGATTGCACTCGAACCTGCATGGCTTGTGCCTTACCTTATCTCAAGGTTGGACAAGGTCAGGGTTTGCACAGGATATGCCGACGCTCGCCTCAACTGAACTCCATCGTTTGAAATTCCACGAATTTTTTTCTAAACTTGCAAAGTTGCATTGGTTGTACGGATATTTGCGCGACGGCTATTTACTTATTTTTCCCGTTCCTCTACTGGCTCTGTCATCGACAGCGGCCACACCACTATCGCCGCACAATACCAAAAGAGGCACCGCAGCCAATATGGCGACAGGGTTCCTACTCGATGATCATGCATAATGACGAGTGACTCGATTCCTAGTCGCAGCTCTCACGTTAGATGGAACGCCCCTCCTCAGATTCGAGAAGGATGGTGTGGCTTACTCCGAGTTGATCGCGCATATCTGACGTCTTATATGAACGGTCTTACTTGGGACTTGTTCTTTAACGAAACAATTCCAATCCCTCCCGCAGGAACCAGCCAGGAGCAGCATCACTAAGTATCACTAAGTATCAAGTATGTCTCAATCTCACCTCTGGAAGATGTGCATACTTCAGGCGGAGGCACAAGTCCGGGAAGTGGGTGAGCATCGTTTTCTAGGCGAGCGAACCCTTTTACAGTTCAAACTTGCCTATTCGGGTCCAACTTCGTCCATGATTCTATGGTGGAAGAAATGGAGTACGAAGTACGGGGTATCCGTACAGACCCGGGCCAGAGAAATTCCAGCAAGCACTGGGATTGACGACCGTCGACCCACCCACAATTTTCATCGCATTCCCCTCAGCAGCTATCATTGTCAATGACTACAAAGTAACAATAGGCGAACCGCTTGGCATCCATAACCAAGATGATGCCAAGGCCAAAGTCGCCAAATTACGACAGCGGCCGCGTCTGTTCAAAGATGAACAATAAGACGGCAGGTTCTCTGATTCATGCCGCATGGGACGTTTTCTCCTATCCTGCAGAGGCGTAAGAGTTCAGAGTTGCATTTGGGTTCTCCAGCGCAATCTTGGCCGACTCCGCTTGTTTGTTTTGGCGCCCTTGGACACGTTGGCTTGCTTCGAATACCAATTACCATTCCCGTGCACCCTCGCACCGGAATGGCGGGTGCCCACTACTTAATTCCGTTACCGACATGAGAGGCATCGGGGCCCTGGCCGAATCGGACGGGCATGGGCCACCCGTGTGGACGTGGGTGAAGGAGACGGCGCCACGAAGGTCCAGACTTTTTGCGCTCTTGAGTCTTTTGAGTCCTTTTCTGGAACTCCACATCCCAGCTTCCCGCGAATGCCAGAAACCTGCTGTTTCTCCATACTCGGCCTTGCCTTGCCTTGCTGGCTGCTCTCGTCTCTTGTTGGCCCTGGGCACACGATGCCATGCCATACGTTGGATTCGTGCCCGTTCTCGGTTACCGCTCTGGGCGCGCCCCAGATGCCCGGTCTCTTGACTCAAAGTGAGTCGATTCGCTTAGCAGGGTTTCCTTCTCTGCATTGTCATCATCATTCCGGTACTTGTCTCCCGGCCCTAACCCTCGAGGGACCGATCTTGAGCTGCGGAATGCTTGAACGCCTAGATGTGCAATAGTGCCCACAAAAATGCCTGCCGCCATCTTTCTAGTGCGCGTCTGTGGGTGTCCTGCCGCGGCAACCCAGTTCTGGTGAAGGCCTAACAAAGACAAGCCCATCATCTCACAACTTTTGACAACAGCCTCTGGTAGCCACGGAGCCTAACCGCAGTCCGATTCCAAAGAGACTAGCCGCCCTAGAAACAGGTAGCCTCAACACCTGAGAAGGTCAGAATTCCAATCAGCCGACGAATCCGCGGCCATAGCCAGCATCAACCTATGGTCAACTTAACACAGCAGTTTGCTCCGGTTGCTTGTCCCCCAACCATCCGAGAGCCGACGAAACATCAACATCCGACCATCAGCCAATGCCGTTAGGCACCGTCCACCATCCGACCCGAGGCCTCTTCACCTCCGCATCTTCCCCCGCATCACGTAAAGCTGCCGGCGGTAGATTCAACACATTTGCATTCGGCCCAGTCAACCAGCAACTCAAAAGAGACAGAGTCAACTACGGAAGACACAAACCTTGTCGTTTCTCATCCGAAGGCCAGTATGCTTCTTGACTCGCCGGCTAAGCAGAGTCCAAAAAGACTTCAACCTAGCTTACCAGTACACTACGGTAGTTGACTTCCAGCTGAGCCGGAGGAGGCCTATCAAGCTGTCAAGTTTCGTCAACGACATCGGACCCCAGCTGACCCTCAACCCGCTCGGTTCCCCCTCTCAGACTCGCAACTCGTGATATTCAGCTTGACCTGGTCACCCCTTCCAAGTCCCAGATTCAGGTCTAGACTTTTCCAAGTTCAACACAACCACAACCACGACCGCAGCTGCCGACGAGTAAGCGGCAAAAAAACACGAAGCACGAGAATCCAGTCCACCTTGCCCCCTCATCTTGCTACGTTGCTACTGCCCGCCTCCCGGACTAGACTAAAAGATTGTCTCCGCTATATCTCCAGCGGCAAGGTATCATTAGTAGTTTATCTTCTTGCACGACCAACCGGCTCGCACGCCGCCATCAGCCAGACGTCGATCGAACTGAGGCTGAGCAGCTTCGGAGCGAAACTCTCTCGGCAATCACTGCAACCCAGAAACTCCTTGATACCCTATCATTTGAACTTGGGAACGAGAAACATCGGGTCAGCCAGCGGCGTGGCGATCTGGCACTACTCACCCTTACCGAAGCAACTTCCTCCACATAGCCCATAGGATCTCCTACTCATCGGATTCTCGATGCAATAGGCGGCCTCTGCAGTAGAAAAAAGACGCCGTGTGTTCATCGACGCTCTTCATATCGAATACGCGCTATTACCAACAGGTCTCGACTGGGCCTCCATTGTGACACCCAGTCGAAGAGGCAACCCGGTAATACCGTATATCCCAGGCCAGTCATTGAGGCTGTGCTTCGCCGGTAACCCGATTGTTTCACTGCACCACCCCAACCCACGTGTGGTGTGTAGTACCATAATTGTCTGACGGACACCGTACTGAAATTCAACCTGGTGTCACCGAAACAACCCCGTCAACGAATCTCCCCAGGCGAGTAGAGTAGATTTGCTCGTTCTCGCGCGCCCGCTGTGCGATACTAATGTCTGGGATGCGCGGATTGTTGTGTGTAAGTGTGTGAAAGTGACAGTACGTGGGCGTGGCGTCAGTTTGCCTTTTCCCGCCTCAACGGGCCTGCGGGGCTTTCCAACGGGCCTGCGGGGCTTTCCAACGGGCCTGCGGGGCTTTCCAACGGGGCCGTAGACGAAGGGCGGTCAGGTCAGCCCACAGTCCGAAATCTCCGGCTACCAAACAAACCAACTTACAACTGCTTCTCTTTGAACATCTGAACAAGTTCAACCACGTCCAACCTTTTTTTTCCTTTTCATCAAGTGAAATTGAACATTCGATGACACGGTAACAAAGGGCTGTTCTTTGTGTACTGCGGAAGACCAAAAAAAAAAAAAAAAAAAAGGGGAACATGGTTTGGTTGTGTGTGTGTGTACTTTGTGCTACCCCTTCTTGGCAACGCTTGGCAAATGTTTAGATACTGTGCTTGCATGCAGCAAAGTTGCCTCCATCGCTGTCCAAGGAGAATTTTAAAAAGCCAAGTCGTGGTAACTTGTTAGTTCCCGCAAGACTTGGCAATGCCCGGATGTGAGCCCTGGTAAGGCGTTAGAGGGAGATCGTTGCGTCTTGGCAATTTACGACATCACGGGGGTATTTGAGGCCTGATGATTATCTCAACTACGGTTGGTGAAATTTGGAAAAGCCGACCAAATGTTTCTTCTGGTTCAATTTTTAGAGGGACGGAAAAAGTGTTACTGTCTGCCTGCCAAGACATGTGTCTGATGTCTGGTAATGTTTCTGTTGGTATAGCATTGTGATGGTTCTTTTGTTTTTGTGATTCTTGGTTGTTTCTAGATTTGAATATACGCGGGAACGTATATCGCGATGCTCTCCGGGTACTTTTGAAGTCTGCCTTGCCTCTTGTTTCCAACCACACATCCGTAACTACCGACGCTCCATCCTCAAAACCAACCCCAAGAAAGGGTAGCCGAAGGCGGCAAGAAGACACAAAAAAACGCCTTATCGTCTGCCCAGATCAACCCGTCTAACATGAACCATGTCACCACCACCACCACCACCACCACCACCACCACTAGCAGTAACAGGCTCAACCCCAAAGAACCCCCCAACAGCCACCCTCAACGTCTCCTCCCAGAACCCAGCAACCACGCCCCTAAGGTCCCCGCCCGTCTGCTTGAAGTCCGGGAACGAATTCACCTCCAGCAGCCAAGGCTTCGCCTCCTCGTCCACGAGGAAATCCAGCCCAAACACTTCAAAGGCATTACCCAACGGCTGGAAATGGATCGTCATCTCCCGCGCGGCAGCTTCAAAGATTTCGCCCGTGATGTTGCATATCCGCTCAAAGATGCGGTCCGCCGTGGCGGCGGGCAGACCATCGGCCTTTCCAGAAGAAACCAGATCCCAGAATTGCTTCACGGGCGGCAAGGCAGACTCCCCCCCGCCCCCTTGTAAACACGTATTCGTCAAGTGCCCATCCAAATCCGCGTCCTCCCACGGCGCGCGGTAGGACTTGCCCGCAAAGAGCGCCAGCATCGGCTTGTAGACGTAGACGTCGAGGCTGCCTACGCAGAGGACGTACGTGCGGACGTGGAACTTGCGCGCGTCCGAGGGGAGGATGAGGGGCGGGTGGATGTACGGCTGGGCGACGAAGTGGCGGAGGTGCGAGGTCGTGATGTAGTCTCCTCCTCCCGATCCGCCTTCGCGTTCACCACCTCCCGCAGTAGTAGTGTCTGCAACTCCTTCGCCTTCGTCTTCGTCCTCGTCATCGCTGTCGGGCCTCTCCTCCTCCCACTCATCAAAGATGCCCTGCAACTCCTCCATCGAACTAAACAGCCGAATCCCTTGTCCGCGATCACTCATCCCCGGCTTCAGAATCCACCACTCCTTTTTGTCTTCTTCTTCGATGCCCTCGTTCCTGTCCATGCTCTCCCGCAGATCAAACGCCTCCACGAGCGCGTCGTCGAGGAACTCGGCGTAGTCCACCTCAAAGTGCTCCCCGCGCTTGACATGCGTCATGAGCGAAGAGGAAGGGTGCTTCGCGACCCAGTGGTCCACCGTCGACGAGAGGTAGTGTTTCCGAATCAGGGCTTTGCGGATGACGTAGCTGTTTACGAAAGAGGTGGTGGGGTGCGACGCGACGTGGTCGAAGTCGAGGGACTCGTAGGGCGCGATGTGCAGGATTTTGGTGTCTGGCGAGGGGAGGCTGGCTGCGAGGGTGGCGGTGGGTTCGTCGTCTTCGTCGGTAGAGTCCGGCGGCGAGGGGAGGAGAGAGTATGCTCCGGGGAAGAGGCGTTCCATGGCTTCGAGGATGAGCGGTTGGACGTACGGGTCTTCGTAGTTGATGATTGCGTGGAACTCTGGGTTCGCGGCTGTTGTTGTCGTGGTGGCGGCGGTTGACTGCTGGGCACCAAAGGTGGAACTTCGCATGGGGAGTCTAGTCGACGAGCGAGTGGCTTCTGCTTCTGCCTTTGCCGGCGCCTCAGCTTGCGGGCTGTCACTACAGATGAGAAAAGGAGTAAGAAGATGATTCTCATGTGATCTATTTGTCTTCTCCCAAAGCGATCGAGAGCAATAAGAGTACATGCCGAGCTTGCCCCAAGAGGAGTACCTCTATATGTCTTGATCGTCTCATTCATCTCTAGATGTTTACGCTTCATGCATTCGTATAATAACGTCCTCACATCCTACCCCGGCTACATCGCCATGTCGCGCTCTCTGTCTGCATCTCTTTCTCGATGATACAATGCTCATACGCACCTACACCTCTTTAAAATATCAAGGGCTCACTTACAGAATCAGCTCCTTCTGATGGAGTTCCTGGGAAGCATGCCAGAAGTTGGCCTTGAGGGGCGTCACACTATAGATGGTTAGCATCCGCACATTCAAAACGAGCTTCAAGTTCATCAATATCAGGTCGTGGCATCACATACCTCGTGTAGCCCTCCTTCACAGCCCATCCATCGTTGCCAGGGGCAGCCTCCTCAACGCTCTGATACACATCCGTGAATCTCGGCGCCCACTTGAAGTGCTTGTGTCGATGGCTCTTGGCAACTCCACCCCCAGCCTTTGCCTCCTCGCCCTCCTTCGGCTTCTCAGCAGACGTCTCCCCAAACGCGCCCTCGCGAATCTTCTCCTCCTCTTCATCCTCATCACCAGCATCGCCCTCAATCTCCTGAAAGCAGCTGCCGTCGCGCCAGTAGTTCTGCAGCATGTTTGTAAACAACGTCTTGTGCGTCTCCACACCCTCGACGAGCGGCACGTTGACGCTATACAGATCCACCTCGTCACCCGCAGGCCACTGCTGATACAACTTTTCAATAACCTTGACCGAGTGCCTCGCGGCGCCCTCGATAATAACAGGATCATGGTTCCGCGAGAAGAAGGCGTAGCTCAACGCAATCGCCTTGCTCTTACACACCGCCGCCTCAAGCGCACCGCCCAACGTGCCCGAACTCAGCGCGAACACGGCCGTCGTGTTGCGGCCGTAGTTGGGTCCGCTGACGACGAGGTCGACCGGCCCGCGCTCCTGGAAGAAGTGGTGCAGGCCGATCTGCACGCACGACGCCGGCGTGCCGTCGACGAGGATCCACTCGTCGTCGGCGCCGTTGGCCGAGGGCCGGGTCGTGGTCGTGCCTTCGGTGCCGAAGAGGCCCTCGGTGGAGGGGCGGTAGTAGAGCGGCTTGACGGTCTGGCCGATCATGTGCGCCTTGCCGATCCAGGAGCGCTGGGTGTGCGGGAGGCAGACGGAGACGACATGGCCGGCTTGCTGGAGCTGGTGGACGAGGGAGTGGACGTAGGGAGAGGAGTGAGGAGATGGCGGGCCGTCGTCGTTGGTGAGGAGGATGTGCATGTTGACAGCTGGCTTGTGCTTTTGCGCTGTTTGAAGTGAGTCGAGTTGAGTTGAGTTGAGCGTTGGTGAGGTAAGGTCTGAGAAGGGGGTTGAAAGTCAAAAAGATTTCGGGGTTGAGGAAATTGCCCCGCGGCAAGACGTGGATGGCGGGTCTTGGCTTAACACTAAGGTGCTAGATGACCACGAGACGTTTTGGGCACGAGTTCAGGATTTAGGAGATAAATGAGTTGATGTGATGAACGCCAGTGCTCCTACGATGTTCAAAGTGAGGAAGATGAGTTGCTAAGTCTACCCACCTAGTAAGTGAGTCTCTGGATGAAGGAACTCGGGACAGACTCTCAGGATGCAAAGTGGGATGGAGGGGTTGCAATAGTGGGACAAGTTGACGTTTGCTGGACACGGAAGGATACCCGGTGCCCGCTCTCGGAGGGGAACGGCACCTCAAGCCAACGTCGGGCCTTCCCACAGCACCGACGTGGTCGGGCTCTTTCGTGGCTTACATGAGCATCTGGAATGCATGATTCATTGCAAGGGCATTTTCCAAGTTGTACGTTACGTTACGGACCTGTCACCGAAATTCACTTTAAATGTCACAAATACTTCGGAGGAAAAATGGTGCTATGTAAAATCGTTGGTGTTGTCCTAGTCTGCAGACTTGTGAGAACTGACCGCAGCTCTCATATTACACGCAATGTCAGCCTATGATGGAAGGCTAAACAAACGCCGTAATCCCAATCCTTCCCTGCAGGCTTTACAAGAATTGTCCAGTACAAAAAGTCTACCCTAGTATCCGTAGAAAAAGGGTATCTGGCTGAGAATACCATTGGTACCCCCACCAGCTAATTTATCCCTTGCCCAGAAAGTGAAGTTCCCATTACACAAAAGCCCATCGGAGAATTGTGCTTCCTCCTCCCATAATCCTGATCGAAGCGGAATAATGACCCAGACTCCGAATCGCTGAGATGCGCAAAGACCGATACTCAAAAACGAATTAACTGTACGAGTATCAAGTGCGAGTTCGCTTAGGAGCAGAAGCTTCGAGCTCGTCGCCCGCGCGCTTCGTGGCACTGCTTCCGTGGCGGCTCTTGACACGCGGCCAGCCGTCAAAGGGACTCGCGCGAGTCTTGCGTTTGATCGGTGACGGTTCTTCCGCCTTCAATCCAGAGCGGGTGGTGCGCCTAGTATCCGGTGGAGTTGCGACCGTCTGACCGAACTTGGGTGCCTTGGGAGTTGCTGGGGCCTCTTCCTCAATCTCAGCCGGGGTCTCTGGCGCATCCTCGATCTCGTTGTCTTCCTCGAGGTAATGATCTTCGATGTCAGTCACGGCTTCCTCCTCCTCGAGAGTGGTGCCTGTAGCAGGCGCCTTGGGCGTAACAGGGAAGAGTAGGCGCGGCTTGATGGCAGAACGAGTGAGCGGTCTGCGAATGCGAGATTCGCTTGAGCTGCCCTCTTCATCGTCTTCATCTTCGGGCTCAGCGAACTTGCGGAAGATCTTCTTTCCTCGGCTGTGAAAGCGGTTAGCAAAGTGCTTTTTTCCTAGCAAATATGGGAGTCAACTTACAAAACATAAACCATGCCGTCCTCGCGCTGAAGCGCATCGTCGATGCCTTGCGCAGCTTCTCCCGGAATCGCGACCTTGCGCTTGCTGCGACGGCGCGGGGGCTCTCGGTCGACGGTGACGCTATCGCCATAAAACGGATTGTCCACGCTGGAGTCGGGTACAGGAACGCGGTCATGCGAATCGGTAAAGATGTCAATCTTTTCTTCTACTTCAGTGGCGGTGAAGCTCTCCAACGAATTGCCTGAATACTTCTTCGGGGTTCGTTTTCTCTTGGGTGTGGCCAGTGCCTCGTCGTTTGCGAACAGATTGCGCGCGACCGACTTGATTTGCGCAGTTTGCTTCTCGGTAGGTGCCTTCTTGGGCGTCTTGGCTGGCGTGGGTAGCATACCGCTGCGACGAGTCGAGGCGGTGTGGTTCGATTGGCGATCCATCATGTCAATTCCGAGCGACGACGCAGCGTGCGATGAGCTGTCAGCAGTTAAGAAACCTGAAGCGCGGCGAACGGAATCTTGCGCAGGTTGGCGCTTCTTCTGAGGTGTAGCGGCAGGCGACATGATGGCCGCAGCGGCGGAAGGTGCGATGGGTTTGCGAGTTGATCGAGGAGGAGTGCGGTGAGTAGGTGGTTGCGGAGAAGGAGTTCGGTTTGCAGCTCGACGAGATGAAATGCGTGCCGACTTGCGAGGAGAATAAGGCTCCCAGTTGTCGCTCCAGCCGTGTTTGGGTGTCGGTGGTGTGCGAATGGTAGAGGGAGGAGGTGAAGGTGTTGATGCGGCGAAGGCGGTGGCCATTATGTCGAAAAGGGCAGGCAGGCAGCCCGGGTCGTCTGGTGGTGGTGCACCGGTCCTTCCTGTTCAGATTTCTTTGAAGGCTTCAATTGCGCATGCAACTGTTGATAAAGGTGAGAAGGCGCGCGGTGTTTTTTAGCGTCGGGTTGCAGTTGCCGCCAAGGTGAGGTGATGATGATGATAGAGGGGGGGATAAGGTGAAGTAGGTCAGAGACTCAAGATGAACTCTAGCAATCGGAGTATCAAGAGGTGAAGCGACCTGATGAGTTTCAATAATACTAGGCAATTGCAGATAAGTTCAAACGGCTGAGTTTGTGATGTCTCTGGTTGCTCTGGCTACAGGTGATGTAAGTGAGAAGTGGATGTGTGGAATGGGATGGATGATGTTCGCGATCATGGGGCGGCAGTTGGGATGCAAAAGGAAATGGTCTCAAAAAACGTGGGAGAGAGGCTGGAGGCTGGGAAATGTAGAGAGGCTGGGGAGTCGGGACGGGGTGAGGTGAGGGTGAGCCGAGCGTTTTCCAGCGCACCAGCCCCAGCCCCCCCGTTTTGCACCTGTACCTCACCACCACTCAAGCCTCATTTTCCATTCAAATTAAGCGAACCCCACCATAGCAGCGGGGACGCGTCGACTACTCAGGAGACGCGAATTTTCGCGTAAAATCAACAGCACTCAAGGTACCCGTACTCCTTAGTCCGTCCACTGTGAGCTGCTGTAAAGCACAGGCCACTTTACACTGACTTTCACCTATTCGCAGGTAAGGTAGGTACTCCGTACCGCAGGGTCTCCACTCCAGAGTGCCCCTCACTCGCTTCATCCCACATTTTCCCCCAAACGGCCGGGCACCTCTAATCCAAAAGTCTTGATCCATCAACAAATAACGTCACACTCGACTCTGCGCCGCGCTTCCTGACGGTACAGACAAGCCAGACCACACTTCGACCAAACCGTTCTTCCATCCAAGCCTGGAGTGACAATAGCCGCATAGGGCAGAGCCACACCCAATTTGTAGCTGCAGCTCAACGCCAACTGCCACTACCACCATGGCTGACTACACCGACGATTCCATCACAGAGGACATATGGGCATCTCCTGGCCACGAGGGTAGAGCTGTACCTCCCTCCGAGCGTCCCGAAACACCTAGAACACCAAAGACTCCCAAGACGCCAAAAACGCCCGCGAACCAGACCCAGAACGCCCCTTATGATAGAGAGGTTTCTCTGCGGAAAGAGTTGGAGGGAGTGCGAAACATCAATGCCGCCATTGAAGGCATAATCAGCACCCTTGACAAGGCCAAGGGCAACATGAATGTGCGCCGCCCCGCGAGAAGCTTCTGTGAAGTGAAACCAGCTGACCTCGCCCTTTAGACTGTTGGCAGCACTGTGTCAAACGCATCCACCCTCCTCAACACCTGGACCCGTATCCTCTCCCAAACCGAGCACAACCAGCGACTCATTCTAAACCCCAACTGGCAAGGCGCAAGTAACGACTTGGTACAACTGGAGGCAGAGACTGTACAGAAGCAGCAAATTGCCGAGAGACGGGCAGCTGAAGAGGAGAGGCGGCGCGAAGCGGCTCGCCGGAAGAGAGAGGAGGAAGACGAAGAGCGACAGAGACAGGCGGCAGTCGGCAGTGCACCACGTGGCCGAGGAGTTTCTCGTGGCCGTGTGCGAGGCACCTCATCGACGACCCGCGGTAACAGCTACTCAAGTAGCACGTCGAGGATCGGCAGAGGCGCGGCGAGCGTTCGCGGTGGATATCGGGGGCGAGCTAGAGGTACGGGGTAGGGGGGCGATACGTTTTGTTTGTGAACGAGAACCGATACCCAGAAATGAATGCATTCAAATGGTCGGCCTCCGGCTAGCCTATTTCTTCTTGAAGAAGTCGCTCATCTTTTTCATGCCCGTGGTGTTGACCTTGCTTAGGGCCTTCACACCTCGCGTTTGGCTGGCCTTCTTCTTCTTTTCCTCTTCCATCTTGCGCTTCTTCTCAGCGCGGGCCTCCTCCTCTTCTTCGTCGAGCATGCGCTTCCTGGAGTAGTCGGCCATGGAGCGGGATGAGGCAGCTTCTGCGCGAAGCTTGGTGAGTTGGACCAAGTATTCGTCCAATGGCAAGAAGTCGACACCTGAAGTTTCCTTGTCGGCAAGAAGCTTCTTCAGAACCAACGTCATGCCTGGCGCAACATAGCTCGAGCAGATGAAGCTGAATGCAACTTTGAGCCGTTGCAAGTTGGTCACCTCGGTGGATGCTTGGATAGCACTGACGACGGTCTCTTCGGATAGTTCTCCATTTACAGATGTGGCTGCTGTGGAGACCTTGGACGTAGCTGAAGCTTTGCCGTCGGCAGTTGAGACTGATGACTGGGATTCACCAGATTCGTTCTGTGGTGTTGACGTATCCGCTTCGTTCGCAGCCACCTCCACCTTGACAGCTTGTGACTTCTGAACTTGGATAGGAGCTTCCAAGACTTTCTTGACAAATTTCTCGTCCATACTGGCGGGAAGTCCCTTGGAGCTCATAGACCGTGCCTTTGAGAGAATCTGAAGAACAAGCTTCTTCTCGCTCAACCGGTACATCTTCTCATCGCCGGCATCAACAGTATCGCACACGGCCTCCATGCGTGATTCAAGAAGCGCCCTCGTCTTGGGGCATCGCAGAGCTTCAGGCATGTGAGAAGACGAGGTCGAAACTGCGTCGAAGTGGTCGTCGCTGGAAAGGAATAGTCGCTTCGTGTCTGTTGACTTGGCGGTGCCAAAAAGACCTGGGACCAGTAGGAATAGAGGGTCCACGGCTGTCGCGACGAAAAGGTCCGCGCCATTGGCGACTTGGGCTTCAAACCGAGATCCGTCCTTTGCGTCCGACTCCTCCAGTGTGCTAGAGGGTGTCTCAATCATCCAGCTCCTTGGTGTCGTCTTCGGCGCAGCAACCTTTGTAAACTCGTAGATGCCTGTCTCCGGACAGAGTAGGTAGCGGGTGGGTTTGGAGTAGCGAGGGTTGGGAAGAGAGACTATGCGAGCCTCACTGGTAGCTTTTTGGGGGATAATGAACAGTTGGGGAGCATTTGACGACTCTTCGGGTAGGGTGTATTTGGCCGTCGAAGAGGCATTGCTCGACTCGGTCTTTGCGGCCGGTGCGGCTTTGGTCGCTCTTGTTCTCGCCATGGTGAAGATGATATGGGTGTAGGAGTTGGGTTGACGATGTTCAAGGAGTGATTCACACCGATACAGACCAATTGACCAGAAAAGAATGGCAGGTGGTTGTGTAAGAGGTCTAAAGGAAGATCCGGTAATGCGTAGAAGGTTGGATGGGAGTAGCCAAGCTGGTGGTGGTCAAAAGTGAGTGGGACAGAGATACTTGGTACTTTCCATTGAGATCGGTCGTCTCTGGACTTTGGACCCTTTCTGTCCGTGCTCTGGTAACGCGACGACGCGCCGAGTTCAATTACAAAGTGGACCGCATCCCCTGGGGCCCGACGCGCCTACAGCCAATGGCAACATCGCAAAGCCATACGGATGGACCACTCCACGTCAAACTCCTCTTCTCAGGCTAGTCCGACCAGGCTTATCGTGACGACGAGGTTCAGATGCGACAAATCGATAACGATTTCGAGGCATTCTTACCACACTATTCGCACTTTTGTTTTACATTGTTTTAGGCGGTCATTTGGCTCTCGAACTCCAACGTAATTCCTTTAGCCACATCTCACGCCCTTCTCATCGGTCGCTATCGTCTCCTTTTTCTTTGTTCGCTTGCTGTCTGTTTGCCAGCACAGACCCCTCTCGACTATCATTCAAGTCTTGCGCCAGACGAAGCTGGCAAGGCCGGCTGGCGGGTCATGGGCTTGTGGCGTTAAAGCTCTATCAAGTGGTCTGTTCCGGAAGGCGGACTGGACATACGACAGCTACGCCCTCAACTACATCATTGTGATACCCCGGCAAGATGCCTCTTGGTTCGTAATGAATGGACATTTTCAATGATCAACATCATAACATCAACATAGCGCCCCCACCCGACGAGCCCCAATGGCCTCCACGATCCCCTCACGAAGCCCTCATTAGCACCCCAAGCGGCCGCGAGCGCCTCAGACGTCTTCAAAATCGAGGATCACCCTCTCCTTCACCGTTGAAGAGGGGACGAGCAAACTCCACCTTATCTACACGATCGGCGAATTTAATCGACGAAATGGACGATCAGGAGGACGAGGATGAGGAGACACTTCAGTTAAAGTTGCAGGAGATACAGGCCAGATTGAAGTTGAAGAAGTTGCAGAGCGCAAGGGAAAGGACGGAAGGAGCTCCACCGACTCAAACGAGACCGACCTCGAGAGGGTTTGGAATCGGCCGGGCACTATCCAGACCTGAACTCCAGGCCACTATCGAAGTACCCGTGTCTCCAATCCGAAAGACTCAGCCCGCACAACCAAAAGCATCGCCGACTCGGGTTCCGCTCGGGGTCGATAAAGGGGTCAAGAGAGCACCAAGTGTACTGCGGAGGAATACAAATCCTCAAGATGGACAGCAACAGGTCGGCGGATATCTTCAACGGTCACGAACTCCTGCTCAACAAGAGATATCACGGCCACTGAGCTTCAACGAGAGGCTGGCCGCAGCAAGAACACAAGAGGTCGACCGCCAGGGATTGAGAGAAAGAGTCCAAAAGGTCAGATCGGAAACGTTTGATATTGGGCAGAAAGAGATTGAGCAGTTCAAGGAAAAGGCGATCGAAATTCCTGAGGAAGAGGAAGCTGCACCGCATTTCACCAGAGATGAAATCCTTGGTGGAATGAGCAAAGTGGAACTCAACCAGCGCAAGCTAGACTCAATACCTGCGCTTCCAGCACCATCCTCCTCCAAAGACGAAGACGACCCCCAAAGTCTCTACGAAGCTCCGCCGGACTGGATGATGGCCGGGCAGAAACCACAGAGGCCGAAAAAGGTTGCGCCAGCAGACGTGCCAGAGGCTGAAGCATCGGCCTTCGAGCCATACTCCAGCTTTCATCTCTCACAGCGCATTCTTCCACACCAAGTCTTGACAAGGACTCTGTCTGGGAAGAAGATATTCAAGTTGCCAGACTTGCTGCGGAAGGTCAAGGCTCCAGAGTTTCAACTTCCAGATATTGAGCAGGATATTGTCGTCTTCGCCATTGTCGCAAAGAAGTCAGAGCCCCGCTCCCACAAGCCTCGAGCTGACCAAAATGGCAAGGAGTCAGACCGAGGGAAGTACATGGTTGTCACATTATGCGACCTGAAGTGGGAGCTGGAGCTGTTCCTCTTCAACTCGGGGTTTACCCGCTTTTGGAAGCTCACAGAAGGCACAGTGCTGGCCATACTAAACCCGACCATTATGCCTCCTCCAGTTGGCCGAGAAGCCACTGGCAAGTTCAGTCTCGTCATCAATTCTGACGCCGATACAATCATGGAGATTGGGAAGGCCCGAGACTTGGGATTCTGCAAATCCATCAAGAGAGATGGCGAATTCTGCAACTCCTGGGTCAACAAGAAACGAACCGAGTTTTGCGAGTTTCATACCAACGAAGCGGTCTCCAAGCAGCGAGCGAGTCGCATGGAAGTCAACACTATGGATTTTGGCGGTGTTGGAGAGAAGTTCAAGTGGAAATCGAGACAGCTTGTCAAACCGGAGGCCGAGAAGAAATCGGGAAAGTACGACCGAGAAACACATAGCCATTGGTTCGCTACGAAATCAATGAGCTCTGCGTCGCTCATCGACGGAGGTCAGGCACTCATGGACAGGAGAGAAAAGGAAGAAAACCTGAAGAGAAGGATGATTGCCCAAGAACGCGAAAGGGGTATCATGTCGCGTCTGAGTAAGATCGGCGCCGGCACGGGGAAGGAGTACATGCAACAAACAGACCGCAACCGCAATCCTACCTCTACTTCGAACTTGCCGTCATCCGCGTCCGCTTCGAACGTACTTGGGGCGCGACAGAAGCCCGATATGAAGAGTTTGGGCATTATGCCCAGGAATAGGGAATTGGCCTTGCACCTCAGCCCTATAAAACGCAAGAGACCACAGAGTGCACAGTCCAGCTCCTCGGTCGGCGCACCCTCGTCAGCGACGGCCACGACAGGGCTGAAGACCGGGTTTGGATGGGGCGGCAATCTCAAGGACAAGCTCGCCAAGATGAAGGAAGGTGAAAAGCTGAATAGCGACAAGCCGCCGGTGAGGAAGAAGACGAGGTTCGTGACGGAGAAGGGGATTCGCGAGGCTGGGAGGGAGAGTTTGGGTATGGACCTGCCGCAGGCGGTTTCTTTTGAAGATGACGATGACGACGATTTGATTATTGTGTGAAGGCAGCATATTTGGGAAATGGGTTTTATGCGAGGGCGACACTGGTCGGACGGGACGGGAAGGTTATGGGCTTGAGGATACAAAGGGGGGTTTTCTCCCATGACTCCTGGATGGAGTTCGCATGAAGCGATTACGGTAACCAAATACAGGTCACAAAAAAGGGTTTCAAGACAGGATATCACGTCGAAAAAGGACGCTATTTTGAGAATGTTCTGGTCGTTCATTTGGTACCCTGTGTGATTAAATCGCGTCAAACCTGGCTGAGGTACGATAGAATGCCAGTCACGGCGTTGTATCAACTGGGAGACCGAGGTGACGCTTTCCCATCCCTATCCAGCTTCGTTCGAGCATATCTTCATTGGCTTCCACAAAACCGATCACCATTCTGAGCTCAGGGGCTCTCCAGTCGATCTCTCCAGTCCTGGACGAGAGACTAGGCCCTTGGTCCTGTAATCCACAGAGTACCATTGCACTGAATCATTTCTACTTTGCATGAGGTATGCTACGTAGCTGATTCCCCTGGGCCACTCAAAGTCTCATTATGTGAAGCGAATGTCTGAACTTGACTTGAACATCCCCAATCCCAGGCTACGCTACCACGACCGACCTAAGAGGCCCATTCGACTCTGGGTAACCACCATACCGGCCACTTGCTTGAGGTATAAATCCAAACGCAAGTATCTTCCGGCTCTCAACAACAATCCTGACAACCGCCATTGCAACACTTCTGTCCTCTGTCAAAGCACGAATCCCGCTGGCGAAATGAGGGATTAGTTAACCAAGTCCAAAACATGGAAAACTCCTTCAAGAGATCTGGGCTTACATAGTTCCAGGTCGGCTTGTCTCTCCCTGGCCAGGTGTAGCACTCGACGACGTTATCTCCAGAACAGCCCAGGGCGGACCCGAGGTCGCATCCTTTGCCTTGGTCGGCTGCCAGAGCGAAAGGGAGGAGGATACTGAGAAAGAGACTGAAGGCGTGCATTGTGCGAAGTATGGAAATCAATGAATTGTAGCGTGTGAGGTTGTGCCGGTTTAGGGAAGGAGGTGGTGTTTGCAGGAGGGGGGTAGAAAAGATAAAGTGAAGTGTCTAGCAGTATGCCACACCGCAGAGTCATTCAATACCGAAGATCAAAAGCCCAGTTAATGACTCTCTAATTTCTACAAGAATATCAATATGGACTTCTCCGTCTGCGCTGGCACGATGGCTTCTTGATGCCGAAACCGAAAGTTGTGCACGGCTAATTTCTCGCTGGTGCTGCAACTCGTGGCGATGAACACGTCGACCATCAACCTTTTTGACAAGTCTTGGCGGAAAGATGCAAATATAGATCTCATCGAAGTTGAATCATGTACGAAAGAGTTGAAGAGGTGCTATTGATTGACACAACCTTTTTAGATTGAATGCCAAGAAAATCGGGATGGCCGTGTTATGTGGTGGTAAGATGCAGGGATACTGCCATTATGGCCTTGAGGTGAATTGAGTCAACTGACTAGAGTTGATATGCGTATTTTTGGAGTTTGCAGTGATGGCCGAGTTAGAAAAAGGCACCGGCGACTGTTGGCAAGACCAACTACTGTATACGACCTCTAGTTAAATATATTAAGTGTTAGATTGTCCTTATCAGGAGGCTATTGAAGCCCATTCCCGGGTAGTGAATGTGACCTACTTGAAATGCCTCTCATTCACTGTCCAGCTTCGAGCCAATCGTCCTGACGTTCCATAAATCGTCTATCTCACTCAATTTCTTCACCAAAAGTGTCTCAACTGGTCTTCTTTACATCCAAGAACCATCGAGCCTTTCACTTGTTCTGGTGAGAGTGCTCCGGAATAAGACACACACAACACACACATACATACATACACACATCGAAATGAAAAGACAGCAAGTCACCCTGCCCGGCCTCCGAACCGCGGCAGTTGCTTTCCTCGCCGCGCGGAGCGTCAAGGCCGAGAAGGTCTTCTGCGCCGACGCAGAAAACGTCGTGGTTTACCACACAAGCTGCGACGACGCCCCCCGCGGCACCTTTTTTCTTGTTCGCCAGTGAGGATGAACACTCGATTGGCAGCTCCGTCGACCCCGAGGTCGTGGATCTATACGACAGTGCCGACTTTATCGACCGCAAGTACGCAAGGGAGCAGCGTGAGCTACGGGAACGAGACATGGAGTCAGGAGGGTTCGGAAGCGTGACGCCGCGAGCGTGTGGTGGCTAGATTGACGTTGGAAAGAAGGATATGGAGTAGATAATAAGAAAAAGGGGACTGGCTGAAAGAGAAAGAAAGAAAAAACCAAAAAATAAGCTGCCTGTGGCATTATGTAGGACCACCAAATTCGAACTTGCGCTCTTGCCGAAACCAGGCATTACCTTCCACCACTAGGTCATGTACACTTCAGGCGGTGCTTCTTGCCTTACCACTGCGAATTGATTGACTAAAGAGCCTCGACGATGATTGTGTTGTATTCTATGAGGGAATACTGCGGAACACGAGCATCTGAGTATACGTCTGTGAATACCATGCGGGGACCCTCACCCTCACCCTCACGTCTTCGACACAGCCACATAACTTGGCGGCCTTGCCTCTTTACTCTTCCCCCAGTCCGACTCCTTATGTCCCAGCGTTAATTCCAATGTCTTGCCTTGACTAAAGAACTCATGTCCGATCCAACTCTTGTTATATGCCTCCCCGTCCAGTTTGGCACTCTGCACGTAAATATTTTTGTACGCAGCATCAAAGCCGACACACTTGATGGTAGCATTCTTTCCCGTAATCGGACTTTTAATACTGACTTCTTCAAAAAACGGCGGCGTGATGAGGTAGACGTTTTGGCCAGCGACCGGAAACAGGCCCATGACAGAGAATGCAAGGAAAGCCCCCATGGCACCCGAGTCGTCGTTACCCGGCAGCCCGCCGTGCGAGGAGTTGAAGGCCGAAGGTATATACCTATGGATACGTTCTGCCGAGAGACCTGGGCGACCGGCGTAGTGGTAGAGATAGACGGTCAAGAATACGGGTTCGTTGGAGATGTCGGCTAGGGGCGAGGCGTGGAAGTAACTGAGGCGGGAGATGAAGGCGTCATCGCCGCCCATGAGGTCGATGAGGGTTGATGTCGAATGGGGGACGATACTATAAGATGTTAGCCAGGTCATGGGTGCGAGCGGTCGGAGGGTACCGACAATTGATACTGCCAGATGCTCGCCTCGAAGGTCTCGCTCGGATTTGTCGTCAAGGAGCAGAACCCAGCGAGATTTGAGCAAGCTATAGGATCTTGGAAACCCCATGTTCCATTCATGTATTTGGGCTGGAAGAACCCGGAAAATCCGGTGTCGGTGCCATTGATCAACGACTTTTGGTCCGACTTCCACAGATTCTGCCAGTTCATGCTTCTCGCGATGTACTTGTCGTGTAATTGACCCTCACCTAGTCCTTGAGCCAGCGTCGCAAGGCAGTAGTCGTTGTAAGAGTACTCCAAAGTCCTCGTTACACTCCTCGAGTTCGTGCCGAACCCGATTGGATCAAAGTCTAGATAGGGAATGTAGTTGAGGGCCTTCCAGCTTGTGAGGCCGCCGCGGCCTTCATATGACCACTCCAGAGGTTCGTCCTCGGCATCTTTCGTTATGGCTGCGAGAGCCAGCTTCCAGTCTATCGAGGTCAAGTTTTTGACGTAAGAGTCAACAATCACGACGTCGGCGTTGGAGCCTCCCTGAGTCCAGCCTTTGCAGAGAGACATGCGGCAGTCTGGCAGCCAGCCTTCGTGCTTGTAAATGTCCAGCATGGAGTTGACCATTTGCGCCTGGGCTGCTGGGTCAATGACGGTAAGTAGAGGGTGCTGGGCACGAAAGCTGTCCCACATGCTGCTCACTCGTTAGGAAGGGAGGCTAGAGACATGGATTCTGTTCTTACCAGTAAAATGAGTCAAAGTAAGGGATTCCGCTGTCCCAGTGCGGATTCTCACCAGTGTAATTCTGAGGAGAAATCATGTTACGGTACATGCCGCTCCAGAAACTCTTCTGCAAGTCGTCCGTAGTGCCAGTCGCCTTAATCGATATAGGGCTCAGCTTCTCCCTCCAAGCGTCCTTTGCTGTCTTCACCAGCGTATCAAAGTTGTTTAGCGGATCTGGAATCTCCTTCTCTGCGTTGCGGCATGCCTGATCACTGCTCTTGAACGAGACTCCCACCCTGGCAGTGACAGTGTCGTTGGTCAGCTCTTTGAAGCGCACGAAGCCACCACCCTCGAGATAGAACAAGTTGAAGCCTCTTGTGACAAAAAGCTCCTTAGGCTCATTGCCAGCTCTGTTATTGACCCATACCCCGGTATCGAAGATCTTGGCTCCAAAGAAGTCGACGCAGTAGTGAAGCATGTAAGACCCAGCACCGAAGCTGGGCAGGAATGTCCCATTTCCAAACATTCGACCGGTGGGTGTGTCGATCTTAATCGAAGAATTCTGTCTACTGGCCCATAGATCCGTCATGTCCAACATCACAAGCGGATGCTCGTTTCCGCCGCTGGGGAACTTGAACCTCATGAGCGCGGCGTGCTCAGACACCGTCATGTCCGCCTTCACGCCAGACGCCAGCTCGACGGAGAAGTACCCCGGCTCGGCGACGGTCTTGTTCACGTTATGCTGTATTGCTCGGTCCCCAATCCGGAATTTACAGTTGTTGATTTCGTCGCCGGGGCAGATCTGCGGGAAGAGGGGAAAGTTGCCTAAGCTGGGGTTTCCACCGGTACCGCTATCGTGAACGATGCTGAAGCCGGTGATATTGCTCCCGTCGGTGGAATAACCACCGGTTTTCTCCCCATCGACATCGGCTACGGCCTTGGCGAGGCCGTACGGTAGTGTCGCGCCGGAGAAGACGTTTCCGCCGCGTTGGGAGCCGATCAAGGGGTCGACGAAGACTAGGGGATCAAATGATTGGCAGCATCCTGTCACTGCGAAGGCAGTGAGCGGTGCGAGGAAGCGCATGGTTTACATGCGACGGGGGCCGACTGCGATGAACCGGACGAACTACTCTCTGAACGGCGGTTGACGCTCAAGTAGCACACTCGAGAAGGAGAGCTTGCTGGTTAAGAGTTATCCGTGTAAGCACAGTCTAACCCAAACCCCGAAGCCGCGCAGTTTGTGTCAAGGATGAGATTGAGATGACTGGCTGAGTCCCCGAGGAACTCATTTTCAATTTCTCTCATTGCCTTGCCTCATGCATAATGATCGCACGGCAATCCCGGCCGCAACGTCGTCCGACTTGATTAGCAAAGTTTAGTAGTTTACCCCGCACGAAAGGCTCCATACGGTAGGTGGTACTAGGTTCGACGATCCCATAGAAGATCACGGGAATAATGAACGTTACATGGAGTAGTTAGTTTAATTATATCGTTCGGTCCAAGCTAGAATACCGGCGGGCTTTGCGGAGACCAAGCATATAAGATATGGCCTAACAGACTATGCCCCTCTTATCATTCTCCCACGAATATAGACTTGCTCAATACCAAATGCGGTGCGATATATGGTATAAAATGAGCTTAGGACCTTTCATAATAGAGCTCGTCTAGGATATCAGCACTACTTCGATAATTGTTCCAGTCGTTCGCTGATACACGTTTACTATTACAGTGACGGGAAGCTTGTTCCCGTATATGCGTTTGTTGATGAGACTTCCAATTTCTGACGATAAATATTAGCCACTGCCACGAATTTTACCTCATAGTCTCTCGGGACATAAGACAACATGCCAATTGAACACATCACACCGTGCTCTTCCAGCCGATGCCGAAGTCCTAAACAATCATACCGGCATAGTAGAGAGTGATGAGTGATAGTAACGGGCCGGGTTCACGAGGCCAAATGAAGAAAGCCAGCCCTAATAATTTTGCACCACGACATGGGGGCGACGCTAGAAGATTCATTCCATGCTCATGTTGATAGTTTCGGAAGATGGGAGACAACGCGAGGTGTTTACTGATGTTTCCGAAAACCATGGTGTTTGAAGCTACAGAGTGATCTTCCTGGGGGTCCGTACACAGAGAAGCCCCTAGCTCGTTTCCGTTACAGGGATAGCACGGCCCCAGCTCTCTCAACTGTCTCCCGTTCTTCATGTCCCATTCCCCGGACACGCCTTTCAGTCGTCTCTCTCTACATTTTGTAAGTGGCTCACAATATTACTCAGTCCACGTTGGGTCAGACTGACAATATGACAATGGCTTTACATAAGTTACAAGTCCACATGGACGAGAAGCATTCGTCCGAACACCAGGCTCATCCATATCAGACGAACTCAATGAACTAAAACGAGACGTTTGGAAGGGCCCCCTTTGGAGGTTGTGCGCCCGAAACACTCCATGCTCCAGCTTAGCCCCCGGAAAATCACCCCGTGCAAGATGGAGAAGGACACCTGGAACTTTGAAGTTTAACGACTTCAACTCCACCTCACGGGGCTTTCGCTTTTAATCTCGCCTCTTACCACAATCTCGCATCGAAGCCGGCTTCTTCTCGTGTCCTTCACTCTACGTGTCTACCACTGTGCAAAGATTGAGAATCTAGTACCCAGCCGCGAGCTAGGATACCGCCACGATGCTGGACATCTACCAAATCAACCTCGCCGGTCTCCTCCTTGCTTGCGGTGTTCTCTTCGCTTCGGGCAGCCAAGACAAGTCTAATGCCTCCAAGAAAGATGAGAGAAAGACTTCAGAGCAAAAGTCAAAGCCGACAGGCTCCCAATGGGCCTTCTATGTCGTCTATGCCCTCGTGATGGGTTCAGACTGGCTACAGGTAGCTTGCCTCTCACACATACTCATTGACGGAATCTCTGACTTGGCAATTCTAGGGACCGTTCCTGTACTCTCTCTACAAGAACGAGCATCAAATCTCTGCAGATTTCGTGCCGACGCTCTTCACGACTGGCTTCGTCTCCGGCGCCGTGGCCGGCTACTTCATCGGCTCACTAGCCGACCGCCACGGCCGCAAGGCCAGCTGCCTCTTCTTCTGCGGCGCATACGCGCTCTCCTGCATTCTCACCACGATACCTAGTGTGCCTTTACTATTCATCGGCCGCGTCCTCGGCGGCCTGGGAACGAGTCTCTTGTTCAGCGTCTTCGAGAGCTGGATGGTGACCGATTTCCATGCCCGCCGTTTGAGCGAGAAGGGCATGGATCTCTCGCGGACGTTCGGTCTGATGAGTACCGTCAACAGCATCGTCGCGATTGTAAGCGGTGTGGTGAGCGAGTGGCTCGTCTCCGTGACTGGGACGCGCAAGTCGCCTTTCTTGGCCAGTGTCGGGCTGCTGGTCGTTGCTGCTGGTGTTATTGCCAGCCAATGGGTATGTTGCGACATCTCATCGTATTTGATTGCTATCTTCTGACTAACCGGATGTGAAGGATGAGAACTACGGCTCGACAGGCCAAGCTTCTTCATCGGAAATTTCCAACGCCAACAAGCCTAGTCTCTGGGCCACAATGACGGACAAGCGCGTTCTCACGATCGGCCTCGCCTCGACCATGTTCGAAGGGTCAATGTACCTCTTTGTAGTACTCTGGTCCCCGGTCCTTGTCTCCGCCTCCTCTTCGCCCGAGACACTGCCATACGGCATCATCTTTGCCTCCTTTATGGCCTCGACACTCCTCGCCTCTCTCCTGCACCCCCGCCTTCTCGCTCTCGTTTCCACGCCATCCCGGCTCCTGCTATCGGTCCTATTCGCCGCCAACGCCGTATTCTTCGCTCTCGGAACCGGTGCTCCTCGCGCGGAGCAAGTCACCTTTTGGCTGTTCTGCTTGTTCGAAGCTTGCGTCGGGTTGTATTTCCCCTCGATGGGGTATCTCAAGGGGAAAGTCGTCGATGATGGTGTCAGAGCACAGGTGTACGGCGTCCTAAGGATCCCGCTCAATGTCTTTGTGGTTGTGAGCTTGATGTTCAGCAGCGATGGGCAGGCGGGCAAGGTGTTTCTCGTCTGTGGCATGCTGCTCCAGGCGAGTTGCGGCGCGTTGTGGCTCATGGGTGGACAGGATGTGTAGGTAGATGGTCATCCGTTGCATTGCCGCCTTCATACGATGATCTCCTCTTCTTCAATAAAAAGCTTAGTTAGCCTTCAGCTTAGCTGAACGTTCACATCATAGTCCTCATCGCCAGTCGGACATGCAAAAACACCCTCATCCTCACCGACTGACGTCTACTTAAGCGCCCGTAAGACACATCAAACCCCACGCACGGGTCTTTCGGGCCGTTTAAGCACAACCTCGCTCGTTCGCCCTGGTTTCGGGTCTCGCTGTGCCAGGGATTGGTGTTCTTGTGTCCTGGTGTTCGTATTTGACATGTTCTCACGTCCGACGTGCCGCAGTGCATATGTACACTTCGTGCTTCTTAAGGGGAGCAAATGTGTGCAGCACAAAACCTCAGGGCGGGCGGATATTCCAATGTCATCTGACAGATCAGTCAGGCACAGGAATACAAGAACGGCAAAATATGTCTCAAGCTCGAACCATTGGCAGGACTTTTTGGGTATACTATACTATTACTACCTTCAGTATCTAAGTACAAATATCGCCTTACGTTATTACCAAACGCCGGACCGAGAGCGACATGTGGAAGTACCGGCATCCCACCCACTGACGGAGAAACAATAACCTAACAATCGCGAACATATGTGGATGCGCAAGAAACAACCCTTTCTTAGCAATACAATTAGCCATCTAGTAGTCATCTGACAGAGGTCGTAGCATTGCGGGCCGACTCCGCGTGGTACCCAGTGTCGGGAGTTGGTCCACGGTGTCCGATGGGACGATCTCTTGGTCTTCAACTTCAATCTTCAAGCTGGGGACGCTATCCAGAGGCGTTATTGTACCATCCAGCTAAGCAGAAGCTTGTCAGTCCAACATGACCTTGAAATTGTATACCACCGTGTGGGAGGAAATGGACTGCGACATCTGTACTCACCTTGCTAATGACCACTTCCAGCCCGTCCTCAATCCCTCCAAGAACCCCACTTACCGAAAGATCACGCAAGCCAGCAGCCTCGATACCTCGGGTCAGAGGAATCTCGTCATAACTCTTTCCTTGCCTAGGCATATCCAGTAACGTGAAAGATCCGGCCATAGAGCCTTTCAGAAAGAGCTGTACTTGGCAAGGCAACTCCAGTTCGCTTCTCTCAACCTCGACTTTGGCGACGTACTCCCTTCTCGGAGCCATTTTGCGCCGCCTGGTTCTCATGGAGGAGGACTGCTGCTCCTGGGGACCGTACAAGCTATTCACCGTCCTGCTTACTGCCATCTTGATGTCTCCTGGCGTCTGGTCCCAGAACCTCATCGGCGCATACGTGTACCCCCAATCGCGGACATGGGTCACCGATTCGCTGGTAAGCGGACCACCGCCCGATCCTACAAATGGCCACAAGGGGTACTGCGGGGTGACGGTGGTCCCAGATGGTGTGGCGAACATTTGGGATGAGGCGTAAGAGAAATGCATTGTGGCATTCTCAAAGTGAAGGGCTTGCCAGAAGGCGATGAGGCGATCTACGTTAGCATGATGAAGCCAGCTTGAGAGACAAATTAGACTTGGCCGAACAATGCCGAGGAAGAACTTACAATAGAGGTTCGAAAGCCGAGGTTGATAGATGAAGAAGATCCTGGCCGCATGCGGCCCCGACATGAACTTCTCCATGAGGTCCTTCAAAGTTGGCGCCTTCATTCTGGGCCGTGACCATCTCGTCGAAGGAGGTGGCTTTCACAAAGACATTGTACTGCGATTTGTCAGTAAAAGAACCAACTTGAAGAAGTCTAGGCCACCATATGCTGCCTTCCATAGTCTTTAAAATCCAGTTCCTCTACTTACCACTTTTTCCTTCAAGTTGTACCCCGTAAGCTTCGCATTTGCCGTATCGGGATAACTCTCACCATCCCCAACACAGCGTTTCGTGTAATTCTGTCCATCAAAGCTGCCAAAACTGCCATCAAGAGCCGTCTTCGGATAATTATATCGGTAAAACGGGTTGCGCACCGCAACTGACTGCAAGGCGCCGCCCACAGGCTTCTTGATGACAAGTGTCGGCAACGCCGTCATGGGCGGGACCTGGGAGTCCGCCGCCCAGTCCCAATACGCAACGCGCAAACTCTCTGCGGCTTCAACGTATGCTCGCTTATGAGGTTCCGGATAAGACGTCGCAATACGCTTGGCGTAGCGGACCAGCACTTGCTGTAGTAAATGGTCAGTTTACCCGCGCCAAGTGAGTGTCTATGTTTGTAGGACGGGTCGTACGAACCTCGTAAAGCGAGAGATATCCGCGATGCCAAGTGCCAAACAGTTCTTGCTTGTTGGCTATCAGCAAAAAATTGAACATTTTTGATATCAAACTGCTCAAGACGTACGTTATGCGGGCAATATCCGGCGTCCGCCCCAGTTTGTGGTCCTCCTCCCGCCCAGGCCATGTACGGCTGTCCGTGAATTCCTGCGATAGTCAGTGGAAGACAATTATGATACAGAAGCTTGGTGGCGACGAACCAGCGACTTGAAAAAACGATGTGGGATCGGTCTCATTCGCATCCTGCATGGCTGCGAGGGCTCCAACGTATAAGTCCCTAGGAGTATGTAAGAAAGATTGCCTCCGCCATCAAGTTCTATTCTTACCATTGTGGTCCTGCTTCTCCATATATGTTGTTGATATTCCTTCGGATAGGCATTTCGCCAGTCCGCATGTTGATACCGGATCTCACTCCAATGATAGGGTACTCTTGCGCCGTGATACTCCATGGCGCGGCAACCAGAATGCCAACGATGAGTGACAACGTCGGAATCATTTCGTATTGAGGCGGTATTCGTTAGGCATATGGAAACACATGGAGGAAACGAAGGTCATTCCTCCAAAAGTTTGGGAAATTACAACGGTTTTATTCTTCTCTGACATGGAGCAGTCAAGTGCTCCCTTCCTTTTTCCCATAGTATGAGCAAACGAATGCCGTCGGATCCGATCCATGATCCCGTGCTGTCACCAACCTTGTATCATAGCCCAGAATGTGGGAAACTCATCATGCTCATGCACCTGCCGCCGCGTACCGTTGCGCGACATGGTGACGATGTTCGATGATGTTACTCTCCTTTACCTAGATGGAGGAGGTGGACGCATGATCAGCTGGTGACGACCCTGGGAGCATTCGCATCCAGGAACAATCGTAGGACTAACTTTTCGATAGTTGACCAAAATAGATACGGCGCGTGCTTGTATCACGACATTGTCAAGGGCCGCCTTATGGGGGGCCTCCTCCTTTTGATGAGTCTTTGCTCGTTTGGGCAACATCGGCGATAGGCCTCATCCTGAACTAGGAAACCTCGGCCGCTCCGCGTCTTCGAATCTAGAAACGCGACGGGTGACTGCTTGCATACCATGAGATAGGGAAACGGTAAATCACCATTAAGAAAGCGGAGCGGTCAGTATCGCCGTCGCTGCGGCTTTGCTATGGCCCCTGATACGAACGTTATCGAGGCGTCTCCCTCTTGGCGCTGATTTGTAGCCCGAACGAACCTGTGCTGGGCACAACCTCCGCCCGTCTCACGAACAGAAAGCACCAGGTTCCGTTTGCAACATGATGCCGTCCTTCCGAGATGCAGCCAGCCGGTTGGTGAAACAATGCGAAGCCACGCCATTATTGGACTTTCTTCCGTTTTCTTCTTCACCGCTCTCGAAGGAGCTCTACAGAAGCGCTGGTTCATGAAGATGGAAATGCATTGGCTGGGAAATACGATGTTTCATTCCCGGAAAATGCGACTTCTATGCTGCACGAGGTGTACGAAGCGCTCTGACGTGGCAGAGATCAAGCTCTTCAGCGGCTAAGAGAGTTGTCGTCTGTGATGCATGCCTTGGCATGTCTCTCCATGTGCCATGGATCATATGTTATGACAGGGTTTGGGAGAAACGACAGACGCATCGCGGCTGGTGGTGACTATGACACACAAGCGTGTGAGCAATTGGTAAATCTTCATCATGTCAATAGGTTGACTCGCTGGCCAAATCTCAAATTCCACAATTGTATGCTAATGGTATCAGACATTGCAGAATGTAGATCCTAAGAAAACAAAACTTTGCCTTCAAGAAAACAGCTTTTCGCTCAACCGAGATAGGAAAATGAGACAGATCTGTCTTTGACAGACTTGCCTAGGGGAACGCCAATGACGAGATTCAGAAAAGGTCTTGGCTCTTCATCATTTCAAACAATACAAATCCACACACCAAGAAAGTCCTTCATGCAACTCCAAAAGCCCATAATATCATCCAAATCCTGCTCTACTCAGAACGAAGCAAAGGCTCGTGACTCGTATTTGTTCGGGTTGAAAAAGGAAAACCGGCGCCATGGTGAAAAGCTGGTCTCACAGCGACTTCTCAAGAACGACAAGTTCACGGAATCCCTCTTTCCACTTCTTCATCTGCTCGGCCGTGGGCTTCGGCAATGGGCTCCGGGCCACGCCACCATAGCCCAGCCATGCTTGGAGGCCGGCCTTCACACCCACAACACCCCCTTGGATCGCTGTCCAGTCACCTTGTGAAACGGTCCCTTGCATATCCTGAGCTTCTTGGTGTCTCCCCTCTTGGAAGAGCTCAATGGTTCTGATACAAGCCTTGGGGGCGATATTGGCCAAGCCTGCCAGGATGCCATGACCTCCAGCCACCAAAGACTGGATAGAGAAGTCGGCTGAACCTGCCAAGACGAGGAACTCCGGAGTCTTCGATTCGGGGTTCTTTGCTAGCTTTCTCGTAGCGGCAGCAACGCGGTTCAACTTTCCCGTGTTTCCGCATGTAAGCTTAACACCCACGATGTTAGGATGTTGAGACAACTGCACAATGACGTCGGAGGACAGATCCATGCCTCCCACTGCGCCAGGAAAGTTGTAGATGATGAGAGGAATCGGCGACGCATCAGCCACCGCATGAAAGTACTCGAAGATGGTTTCCGATGACGGAGCAAAGAGACCAGCGTAGTATGACGGAGGGAGAACCAAGGCATAGTCTCCACCAGCAGCCCATGCCTCGGTGCAGTATTGTATCGTCTCACGTGTGCTCTGGCTTCCGCAGCCGACGATGATGGGCATGTGAGAGAACCCGGCGTCGTTGAGAGCCTGCCGCGTTGTTGCCGTGACGAGCTGGCGCTCGGCGTGTGAGAGATGGACTGCTTCTCCGTTGGAACCCTGGGTGGCCAGGCCGGTCACACCCGCTTGAGCAAGTCGTACTGCATGGCGAGCAACAGTGCCGATGTCCACGTTTTCCGTACCCGGCTCGAAGAAGCACATGGTAGGTACGTAGACGCCAGGAACAAGCGGTCGGGTCTCGTGCAGGCCAGCGCTAGGTGATGCGATGTCGTAGGAGCTACTTAGAGGAGAACTTGATTCAGCCGCAGCCAGACTCCCGATTTGTAGATTTGAAGAAGTGGTAGGGTTGAAGGGGATTCTGTTGAAGCCGGCTGTGAAACTGCCCGCCGGCGAGGGCGCATCTTGGTGAGGGGCCATAGCTGCTGTGGGAGATTGTGGCAGAAGTTCTTTCTTTCAAGTGAGACGACAGGAAGCACGACGTAGGATACACGAAGCGTGATGGAGGTAGGTATCAGAACTAGGATATTGGAGCAAGATGGTGTGGTTTGAACTAAAAAGAGTAGATGCTGTGTTGATCCTGGTTTATGTAGCTTCTCAAGGTTCTTCAGCAACTCGAGGGAGACGGGGAAGTGGGAAGAAGGCCTTTTATCATCGGAGGGAAGCAAAAGAAGGAAGGCAGTGAGGCATGATGTGGCCCCGTCAAAAGGCGGCATATCAATATCAGTCTTGCAGCGGACCAGTGGCGTCACAGGGTGAATCGTGGCTGTGTCAGCTCGTCCGTCTAGTAAGTCAGCGTCGCCCGGGACGAACAGAATGAGACGGGCTTCCAACGGATGAACCGGCTTCTGCATACGAGCAAGGTCCTGCTCACTCTCGGACTCCAAGGAAAAGACGCGCCATGTGTGTAGTCATGGGCAAACAGGCCATTCCGAACTGACCAGCAAGGATCACTCCTGGCCAACTGTAGTAGTACGAAGATATGCAGCGTCAAACCAGGATGTCGGGGAGACTGGAGTGCCTAGACCAGGGCTTCGCGACACAGTGCGTGGAGTCAAAGGCAGGATCGCTGCTTAGCCATGCAAGAGGCAAGGCCAGCGTATGCTAGTGGGAAAGATGGAGGTGGGATGGCTGACCCCAACCCAGATATGTCTTCTGGGGTATTACGCCGCTTGACGTGGGGGTTAGCTTCAAAAGGGCCTCGATCTCCAAGTTGCCTCCTTGGGCACCTGCAGAATCGAGCATTCCAAGCCGGCATTGCCATTCCACTAGGCTTCAGACCAGAGTAGTCTTGGAGGGTATGCGAATAACCCTCAGATCTAAAGGGACCATCCTGCCGATGAAGTCTGTGAGAAATGAGTCGTGAAAGACTTTGCGACCAGCCGCACGCAGTTCGGGGTCATCCATGTGGCTCGGTATTCTCACGCCGGTGGATGAAACGACACCCTTCTCTACTTTTGGTCTTGTTTGCACCTCAATCGAAGTTCTATCAATAAGATGATGTCGTGGGACGATACGACGCCTCGGCCGGGACTCACGGGCTTAACCGATTTGGCATTGAATAGATGGCGACGCGACTAAGAGTAGAAAGGATTTGCTATTTGCGCTGGCTAGTTCCGGTGAAACATCTGCTTAAATTCAGTAGTAAACAGCGGATGTAGGCAAAGAGGCAGACGAAGCTTTGGAATTGAGACGTCGCTTGGAATTGAGGTATGCGCCTCTCCTTTAGGCGTCATAAAGAGTGATGCTTGGTTGCGAAAGCCTCTGGTGAATTTCATGAATTCGTTAGGGAAAAGAAGCTGAGTTGAAGGGGACACGCCAGTCGCTGATCGGCACTTGCACATGTAATCCTCGAGTGAATGAGAGTGGGAGAGTAAAATTTGCTACTGCTACTGCTACTGTATTCTCACCTTAACCATCCACGCTGCCTCGTCCTATCCCGAATCATCATTCTGCACGATGGACCCCACCGCCTGATACCGAGAGGTACAGCTCGTCTCTCGCAGTCTTCTTTTTCCATCGAATCATGTGTCTATCTTCTATACAAAGTCACGCGTCGTCGACCAGGAACAAACGTTGACGCATGGATGAAGTGCAACATCGTCTGTTGTTTCCACCGAATAATTCTAATCTGCCTCATTGAGAGCGTCAAGGAGTTTCTATTCGCTTGCTTTGTGGCGAAGGCCTTACGAGCCCTTGTCTTAAGAGCAGGGTTTAATACCAAACAGCGAACGGTATGAGAATAACCTGGTCAATATCTACCAAGTCAACGAGACGAACCTGTTTCATGAACACTTTCATTTCGAAGAGGTGGAAGTGAAGGCCCAAGTACGGGATGAGCGCTCAGCATCGGACACATCACACCGCTGCAAGTCATGCACACACATGAAGGCTAGCTAGCCATGCAGTCGGTTGATTCGAGATACCTCGTTACGACATGACTATGGAACCTCGAGGTTGCAAATTGGCTCCACCGCTCAGTTTCCAGATTGGGAAACTGTCTTCGTCATGTGTTCTGAATAGTTTTCCAAGCCATCGTTCCTCAAGCGCCCTGCAAACGTCCAAATCGAATTGTAAGAGAACCAAGCGCATCGACTCACGAGTGAGAACGGCCCTGCTGTCATCGGATGTTGGACGGATCGACAGACTTTAGACAACACTAACCCCCACGCTAGCCAACGTGCCAACTCCCCCGGAAAGCCAGGTGCCAACTCGTTTTAGGGGTCCCCTTGTCATGAGCATTTCCCAGCTTCTCAAGGCGGTAAGGCAGCCCTCATGATTTACGACGTGCTTTCAAACGACATGTATCCGTCTTAGATTAAACTGTCTGTCGGTGGCAGTGTTTCTCTACCTGCCTTTGGTCGCGTGCCGAGTCTTACATCTCTTGCAGTCTTACTATGCATCAACTTCGTTCTCGTCCACCACTCATTCCCACATCTTGGGCTGGAGAAAGCAAGGCCCTGTCATCATCAGCGCATTGATGACGGTGAACCTAGTACTGTTTCCTGCTTATGGATCCATATTCCTGCGTTGGTCGTCCTCTAGATACAAGTACAGACCCCGTGACAATATGGAAGGGCTGTAGTTGTGCCCGACGTCTTGGCAATTTCCTCATGCCACCATCGGCAGTGCAAGTCTTCTCTCTTTTCTACAGTGTTTGTCCGCTCGTCCATTTCCGCCGGTCAAGCGTTTGGTATCTGTCGTTAGCGCCTTCGGGGATAGTTGCAAGTGTCTGCTGACCACAAATACCCTCAAGAATGGAGCTGAACTCCACCCACATGGTGTGGCAGACGTCGTTGCCAGCAGTCTTTCTGATGTTGCAGCTGCGCCGCGCGACCTTTCTTCCCCTTTTCCACCCCGAGATGCACACTGCCATCACGTCGGATAACGGCACATCGCCACCACCGGGCGGTCCCCCCTCCAGACAGACGACCGGCTTTCCCCGCACTTTTCTTGTCAGCGATCTTGATATCGTCCCCTGGGTTACGCTCTGTTCTTCAGCCGCACGACATCGTGCCTTCATCGACGTTGTGTTCCACACCATTGGCCTAGAAACACGAAAGCCTCCCCTTGCTATGATTGATGGAGAAACAAGTCCGTCCCTCCTAATGTCAATGACTCTCCTCGCATTTATCTCGGCTTCGCAAGAAATGTGATGCCGTCATGGACATTGAGGGCTTTGAAATGGCAGTCCAATCGAACTACACAACACTCACTCCGGCAGTCAAAATTCTACGGATGGAATCATGATTTTGGCACCACATAGCCCTTACAAAGATCAGCAGCGAGCCGCCTGTGGCACGTCTGCAGGCTTGTGAATCCGGGGGCGGGACGTCATGCGGTGCGGATCCCAACATCCTGGCCATCCACGGAGCCCAACATTGCTGGCACCACTCTCGCCTACACGGGACCAGACTGCGACTCTACTCGCTATAGGGATAAGGCGAACGGAAAATGATCACTGATACTCTCGGTTGGGTATGGATTTCCGCGTTGTTGACAAGGGCAATTCTTGTCTTTTCGGCGTGCTTGTAGGTCTTGGAAATCCCGGAGGGCCACTCATCCTTAAGCCGCTACATGCCGCGCCAATACTCATTAAGTGATGGGCAATCCTCCACGTGTCTTGCAGCGATGAGGGGCAGCAATGAGGGGATCAAGAGTCAACCCAGCCTATAATAATGGCAACTCGATCTAGATGGGGTCGCCAAGGTTGAAACGTTGAAGAGACAAGATCTTGTTTCCTCTTCGCTACTTTTAACCTTGTTTCATGATAGCTATGTTCTCTTGTTATTTCCTCCTTCATCTTGGAAGGTATGTTGATGCCTAACATACAATGCGCTTACTTTCGGCAACGTTGCTTGCTACTACCCAAATGCCAATAAGACGAGACTGGCTGAAGCCATCCTGTAACCAACTTTCGTCGAGTTCTTGGCGTTGTCATGGTTCAGAGCTCGCGGCATTCTTCTTCTATTCTTACCGCTCGTCGGTCATTTTAAATATCCGAAGGAATCTCTCGTAGACGAGGTGACACGCCTTGAACTCGCATTGACAATTATATGTGTACCGTTCGACTTTGCTCTACTCCTCTAGCTTCTTTCACTGTCTTTTACATACCGTTCGGCGCCTAGATACCCCACAGAGAACTTACTGACTGCTGTGAGACCTATACATATGCGGAGCACCCTGTCAGGACTCACTCATCCCCACGGCTGACCGAGGGGTTGTCTCGCTGAGCCCCCACACCCCACGGCAAGTCTCTGCGGGCTTGACAAGGAACGTTGACTTGACCTTCCCGAAGGAGTTCAGGTGAAGGAGCAGGCGCCTTGAAGCAGTCAATCCGGGATTCTGGGACCTTGGAGAGAAGGATGGTGTTCTCGTTCCTGGGCGGGGCTTACCTTAGTATGTTGCTGTCGGGCGGCCGCCGGCGAGGACAAGCTGCTAGTTGGATCTTTGTGCCTGCTTGGATACCCTATCTTAACTACACGTCTTCGGAATAACAGTTTCGATAATCAGTAGGCACTGTGTCTCAATTAAGGATGTCGGCCTTTACATTCCGTAGCTGAAGATTCACTCGTTACTTGAACCTCACTATGAGAGGGGTTTATACTGTCAGAGTGAGTACTATAGTACGAAAGTCACACGCCTGAGATGCTATGTCCTTTCATTATGAGTCAACTAATTAATCAAATCCAGGCAACGAGCCATGGTACTTCCTATGTTGTTATTGAGATATCCAAGATTCTGAGGCCCCCATCCAGAACTTCCAAAATACCCACCTCCTTCCATAACGGAGCAGTCGCTGGCGGTACAAGAAGTGTATGTCTTCAGGAGATTGAAAATAATAAGAGAAGTACCTGAGTTGTCTACAAAACGAAGTCGCACATAAACAAAAGAAATCCTGGCACACAGGCTCGTCCCAAGGGCTGAATGCACCGTAAACCGCCGCCTCTTTCTCGGTCTCGAGGCTGCACTGAGGCTGTGTCTCAACTTCGCCTTTTTCTTATTGAATTACACTCAGTTTCGTCTCCCATTGCAGTGGACTAGAAAACAGCCT